ACACTACACATCTATATACACTACACATCTATATAACACTACACATCTATATACACTACACATCTATATACACTACACATCTATACACACTACACATCTATACACACTACACATCTATATACACTACACATATATATACACACTACACATCTATATACACACTACACATCTTTATACACTACACATCTATATATACACTACACATCTATATATACACTACACATCTTTATACACTACACATCTTTATACACTACACATCTTTATACACACTTCACATCTATATATCACTACACATCTATATACACACTACACATCTATATACACACTACACATCTTTATACACTACACATCTATATATACACTACACATCTATATATACACTACACATCTTTATACACTACACATCTATATACACACTTCACATCTATATACATACTACACATCTCCGTACTCTACACATCTATATACACTGTGCACATCTTTGTACACTACACATACCTTTAACACTACACATGTACACTACACATCTCTTTATCACAACACATCTATATACACACTACACATCTATATACACACTACACATCTATATGCACACTACACATATATATACACACTACACATCTATATACACTACACATCTATATACACACTACACATCTCTATACACTACACATATATGTATCACTACACATACACACTACACATCTATATTTTTACTACACATTTCTATACATATTAAAAATATCTATACACTACACATCTTTATACACTACACATCTATACACACTACATTTCTAAAGATGGAGTTGGGGAGAGCGAGACATCTTTGATTTTTTTCAATGATTTCGATGCTTATGTGATCAATGTCCTATTTTAACTTGAACCATGTATGTTAAACCTGTGAACATATATTGTGAACTTGATTTGTGTTTACAACAGTTGATCTCTCAATTAATACATACAAGTCCACCATAATGGACACAACCTGTAAGTTTACTGATACAATTTTAGTGATTGAACATTTTTAAAATTCATTTTGGGATTCATTTTCAAAAATAAGTTAAATTTATATTTTTCATATAAAACAATGTTTCAAATTGAATTCATGTATAATGGAAGTAATGCTTGTATAAGGTAGTTTCAAGTAATATTTCAGAGATCAACCAAAATTTAACAATCCTTATTTTTTAAATGTGCTTTTCTTTGTTTTGTGTTTCAATTAAAATGCAGGTAGCTTTGTTTATTGGAGAGTTTTTCTATTGATCAGAAGTATGTGGGAGGAGTTTGGATGACATTCCATGGATACTCCTCCCACTGATGTCGCTCCACGGAGTTTGGTGTGCTATAATGAACAGTCAGATTGTTAAGATCGTCAGAGTTTTGCATGCTGTCTGATTATTGGTACAGGAGGGTCAGGCGACACCCCTGATGACATGCCTGTCTGTGATGAGATACTGTGTAAATATGGTGGAGAATGCCAGCTCAACGAGCAGGGGACCTATGCGTGTATCTGTAACTTCAACTGCCAAGCCATCAGGTAAGGTGAATAACCCTCTAGTGTCTCCAACCCTAAGTTCCAAATTTCCTTTTCCTGTACCTGTTTTAAGGTCACCTGGCTTGAAGGGCAAAGCGAACTTATGCAATTGTGCAACCTCCGTCGTCCATCAATTATCTGTCTGTCTGTCCGGAGTCAACTTTTCTACTTTAAACAACTTCTTCTGAATAACAAGTTAAAACAGCTAGGGAGATGATATTTGGTCAGTAGCAAGGTCAAAGGGGTCAATTGTTTTAAAACCTTTTATTCAACTTCTGAACCAAAAGAATCAGAGTGATGATATTAAACCAGTGGTATGCTGGGATAAAGGACTACCAAGTGTGTTCAAATAAATAACCTTTGCCCATATTCAAGGTCACAAGGGTCAAATATGTTGAAATCTTTAAACGATTTCTTCTGAATAACCAAAAGGTCCAGGGTGATGATATTTGGCCAGAAGCATGCTGGCATTAAGGGCTAAGAAGATCTTCAAATGAAAGACCTTCACCCCTATTCAAGGTCACAGGAATCAAATATGATAAAATCTTTAAACAACTTCTTCTGAATAACCGAGGGGTCTGAGTGATGTTATTTGGTATTTAGGTAAGCATTATCAGTATTAGGTAGCAGTTTGATGCACAAATCACCCCAGACTGACCCCCAGGGGCTGATGGGTCAGGGGCCAAAAAGGGTTGAATTGACTGAAATTTCAAAAATCTTCTTCTCAAGACCAAGATATGGTAGAATCAAATGCTCTTCATAGATGGAAGGGTCTTAATGTGCTTTACCAAATTTGTGAATTTCATGACCCTTGGGGGTCTCACGTTTCCCCCTGGGGAGGGGTTAATTTTACTATAGTTAAATTGTGAATGATATGGTCCCTAGCCCCTAGGGGCCTGAAGGGCAGGCCAAAATTTGCATTACATGTAGATCAAGTTACCTTTGTTAGAAAATAATTTCTTTTTCATTTGGTATCATCGATAACATCAGTTTTTACATAACTCCGGTGACCGTTAAGGCCCTTGGACCACTTGTTTTTGTTCCTTCCCCTCTTATTTCCTGTTGTACATTTTCACTCCTTCCTCCCCATTCCATTTCCTGTTGTTTATTTTCTCTCTTTCCTCCCCATCCTATTTCCTGTTCTACATTTTCTGTCCTTACTCCCCCATTCTATTTCCTTTTGTATATTTTCACTCATTCCCCAACCCACCCCCCACCCCCCACTCCCATTTCCTGTTGTTTATTTTCTCTCTTTCCTCCCCCTCCTATTTCCTGTTGTACATTTTCACTCCTTCCTCCCCCTCCCAGTTCCTGTTGTATATTTTTACTCCTTCCTCCTCTTCCCTTTTCCTGTTGTACATTTTCACTCCTTCCTCCCCCTCCCTTTTCCTGTTGTACATTTTCACTCCTTCCTCCCCATCTTATTTCCTGTTGTACATTTTCACTCCTTCCTCCCCCTCGCAGTTCCTGTTGTATATTTTCACTCCTTCCTCCCCATCTTATTTCCGTTTGTACATTTTCTGTCCTTCCTCCCCCTCCCATTTCCTGTTGTTCCTTTTTTCACTCCTTCCTCCCCCTCCAATTTCCTGTTGTACATTTTCTGTCCTTCCTCCCCCTCCCATTTCCTGTTGTACATTTTCTGTCCTTCCTCCCCCTCCCATTTCCTGTTGTACATTTTCTGTCCTTCCTCCCCCTCCCATTTCCTGTTGTACATTTTCTGTCCTTCCTCCCCCTCCCATTTCCTGTTGTACATTTTCTGTCCTTCCTCCCCCTCCCATTTCCTGTTGTACATTTTCTGTCCTTCCTCCCCCTCCCATTTCCTGTTGTACATTTTCTGTCCTTCCTCCCCCTCCCATTTCCTGTTGTACATTTTCTGTCCTTCCTCCCCCTCCCATTTCCTGTTGTACATTTTCTGTCCTTCCTCCCCCTCCCATTTCCTGTTGTACATTTTCTGTCCTTCCTCCCCCTCCCATTTCCTGTTGTACATTTTCTGTCCTTCCTCCCCCTCCCATTTCCTGTTGTACATTTTCTGTCCTTCCTCCCCCTCCCATTTCCTGTTGTACATTTTCTGTCCTTCCTCCCCCTCCCATTTCCTGTTGTACATTTTCTGTCCTTCCTCCCCCTCCCATTTCCTGTTGTACATTTTCTGTCCTTCCTCCCCCTCCCATTTCCTGTTGTACATTTTCTGTCCTTCCTCCCCCTCCCATTTCCTGTTGTACATTTTCTGTCCTTCCTCCCCCTCCCATTTCCTGTTGTACATTTTCTGTCCTTCCTCCCCCTCCCATTTCCTGTTGTACATTTTCTGTCCTTCCTCCCCCTCCCATTTCCTGTTGTACATTTTCTGTCCTTCCTCCCCCTCCCATTTCCTGTTGTACATTTTCTGTCCTTCCTCCCCCTCCCATTTCCTGTTGTACATTTTCTGTCCTTCCTCCCCCTCCCATTTCCTGTTGTACATTTTCTGTCCTTCCTCCCCCTCCCATTTCCTGTTGTACATTTTCTGTCCTTCCTCCCCCTCCCATTTCCTGTTGTACATTTTCTGTCCTTCCTCCCCCTCCCATTTCCTGTTGTACATTTTCTGTCCTTCCTCCCCCTCCCATTTCCTGTTGTACATTTTCTGTCCTTCCTCCCCCTCCCATTTCCTGTTGTACATTTTCTGTCCTTCCTCCCCCTCCCATTTCCTGTTGTACATTTTCTGTCCTTCCTCCCCCTCCCATTTCCTGTTGTACATTTTCTGTCCTTCCTCCCCCTCCCATTTCCTGTTGTACATTTTCTGTCCTTCCTCCCCCTCCCATTTCCTGTTGTACATTTTCTGTCCTTCCTCCTCCTCCCATTTCCTGTTGTATTTTTTCACTCCTTCCTTCCCCTCCCATTTTCTATTGTATTTTTTCACTCCTTCTTCTACTTTCTTGCCTCGTTGATCCTTTTATCTGTCCTCCCACATATGGTTATGGTAAGAAAAATGAGCCGATTCAACACAATATGAATATAAACTTTGGATTTATCATTATCAAGGTTAACCCTAACCCTAACCCTATCAAGGTTCACATACACATTGGAGTCATGAATAATTTGTTGACAATCCTAACATGCTTACAACTTAACTCACTCAAGTTCATATGACTAGGTGATTACTAGTTGTGTTTTTCTTCATTTAACAGATCCACAGTTTGTGGTTCCGATGGACGTACATATGGAAATCCTTGTCAGATGCAGTACGAAGCTTGTAAGCAGCAAAAGGAGATAACTCAAGTGTCAATGGATAATTGTTTTGGTAAGATGGGATCTCAGGTAACATGCTTTTGATTGAATTACTTTATTAGTAATTAGGGCCCTGTATCGGAGATATGGGTGCCCTATAGTAATCACTCTGTCTGTCTGTCTGTCTGTCGGTCTGTCTGTCTGTCTGTCCGTCCACAAATTTTGTTCCTGGCTGATAACTTTGGTATTTATTGACCGATGTACATGAAACTTGGTCAAGATGTTCAGTTCACAAAAATACACATTGAGGTAAAAAGTCAAGGTCAAAGGTCAAGGTCATTAGGTTCAAATTTCAAGGTCAAATTTTGCATCCTTTCACTGATGAACATTTTGTTATGACATGATGAAGTAAAGTGGATCAGAATTAATCAAGGAGTCAACCTGACCAAATGTCAAGGTCATTGGGTCACAGAGTAGAGTATAGTGACTCCTCCTACTCTGTGTATAGTGACTCCTTCTACACAGAGTATAGTGACTCCTCCTACACAGAGTAAATTGACTCCTCCTACACAGAGTATAGTGACTCCTTTTACACAGAGTATAGTGACTCCTCCTACACAGAGTAAATTGACTCCTCCTACACAGAGTATAGTGACTCCTCCTACTCTGTGTATAGTGACTCCTCCTACAAAGAGTATAGTGACTCCTCCTACACAGAGTATAGTGACTCCTCCTACTTGAGTTTAGTAACTCTTCCTACTCTGAGTATAGTGACTCCTCCTACACAGAGTATAGTGACTCCTCCTTTTCTGTGTAGAGTGACTCCTCTTACTTGAGTACTCAATAGTACAATTAATGATTGTTTCAGACAATGTTGTTACAATTAATGATTGGTTCAGACAACACTATTACAAATAATGATTGTTTCAGACAACACTATTACAAATAATTATTGTTTCAGAGAACACTATTACAAATAATGATTGTTTTAGACAACACTATTACGAATATTGATTAGACAACACTATTACAAATATTGATTAGACAACACTAGTACAAATAATTATTGTTTCAGAGAACACTATTACAAATAATGATTGTTTTAGACAACACTATTACAAATATTGATTAGACAACACTATTACAAATAATTATTGTTTCAGACAACACTATTACAAATAATGATTGTTTTAGACAACACTATTACAAATAATGATTGTTTCAGACAACATTGTTACAAATAATGATTGTTTCAGACAACACTATTACAAATAATTATTGTTTCAGACAACACTATTACAAATAATGATTGTGTCAGACAACACTATTACAAATAATGATTGTGTCAGACAACACTATTACAAATAATTATTGTTTCAGACAACGCTATTACAAATAATGATTGTGTCAGACAACACTATTACAAATAATGATTGTTTCAGACAACATTGTTACAAATAATGATTGTTTCAGACAACACTATTACAAATAATGATTGTTTCAGACAACACTATTACAGTCAAGAAATGTTTCTGAAAACAATGTACAAATGAAAATTATGTAACACCCAGATCAATGACAGCTTTATTAAAGTGTTGGTTTTCTCGGGGTTCTTTCCACATTAAAATGCTCTTTGTGTTCCCGTCCAGGTCAACAAGAATGTGATGGAAAAACTTGTATCATAATTGATAGCTCACCTGGCACGTCCGTCGTCCGTCTGTCAGTTGTCTGTCGTCCGTCAACTTTTTCTTTGAACAACTTCTTCTTAAGAATTGGAGGACCTAGGGCCATGATATTTGGCCAGCAGGTACCTTTAAAAGAGTGCTATAAAAACTTTCAAATAAATGACCTTGACTTACATGTAATTTCAAGGTCACAGGGGTTAAATATGTAAAAACCTATAAATAACTTCTACTGAATAACTAAGAGGCCAAGAGCACTGATATTTGGCTAGTGGGTACCTTGAACAGGGTGCTATAAAGTTTCCTCAAATAAATTACCTTGACCTACTTTCACGGTCACAGGGGTCAAATATGTGAATACTTCTTTTGCATTACCGGGAGGCCCTGGGTGATGATATGTGACCAGTAGTATCCTGGGTATAAAGTATATAGTTTTATTAAGTCTGGAACATTTAAAAGCCAAGGAGACTCAATATATGAAAATATTTGCAGAAGTACTTTCTTTGAGAATAATTTCTCATGATTGCTCGAATATCAAGGTTAGCTATACAAACCCTCTGGGCCTCTTGTTATTAAATAAACAGAATTGATATTCAATGAAAAAATGTATTCAACAAAATGATATAGTTTTTATTCCTGGTTGTAGATTCGGATAGTGTCTCTGAAGTGTCTGTTTGACCGTGGTAAAATACTAGCCGCTTCCTACCCACTCCAATTAACTCAACATACCCTGTAATTTTAGTGCGAGTTCGTGTTTTGAAGAAATCCTGTATTGTAACAGAGGTCATTAATTTTTCAATGCCTCCGCTAGGAGTCGAACCCAGGACCTCTGGTCTACCGAATGAGTTTAAGAGAAATTCTCCCCAGCCGAGTCAGTAGGAAGCAGGTGTTTTTTCCAGGGTGACATTACTCCCCCTCCCGGGATCTCTGGTTTATTTGTCTTACGCTCTACGGAATGAGTTAGAGAAATTCTCCCTAGCCAAGTCAGTTAGGAAGCATCTAGTATTTTACCGGGGTCACAAAAGAGATCACAGTCATCTGTGTTAATATGGAAATAAACTATTAATTATTGTATTGTAATTAAGAATAAGCTTCTTTACTAGTTCATCAATATTGCAGAGATGCCCTGTCTATACTTTCAGACTTCGATGAAGAACCGTGTGATGGAAATCCTCCATTAGTGGCCCCATTGCACGAAGAGTACAAATGTTCAACATCATTCAACAACTGCCCACCCAACAGTTATTGCCATGAACAATTTGGCAAATGCTGCCAGGAAGGTATATTAATTTGTATTTTTCCCAATTTTCAATTTCGTTCTAGTTATTTTTTTTCTATAAAAGTCTAGTTTGTAGTTTGTTTTGACCTTTATTTGACCTAGACCTGCACTTCTATTCCTTGTTTATGTCCCGGTACTCTCACAGCTTCCTGTCTTTACTCTGGACTGAGTCTGTGGTCAGTTAGACACATTTTCTCACACCAATAACATATAAAACTGGTGGAATGTCTCATTCATTATTGCTTACATAACTGACAAATTTCACATAAACCTGTACCATCTTTTACCATGAAAACAAACTCACAGCATATTTCCATGAAAACAACCTCACAGAATATAACCATGAAAACAAGCACACAATTTATTAACATGAAAACAACCTCATAGTTTACTACCATCAAAACAACCTCACAATTTGTTACCATGACACTTTCTTTCCTCACAATTTGTTACCATGACAACAATATCACAGCATATTACAATGAACATTTTACTCACAGTTTATTACCATGGAAACAACCTCACAATGTATTACCATGGAAACAACCTCACAATATATTACCATGAGAACAATCTCACAATTTATTACCATGGAAACTACCTCACAATGTATTACCATGAAAACAACCTCACAATGTATTACCATGAAAACAACCCTACAATTTGTTACCATGAAAACAACCTCTTAATTCATTACCATGACAACAAACTCATTGCATTTTACCATGCAAACATCCTCAAAGTTTGTTACCATGAAAACAGCCTCACGATTTGTTACCATGAAACTTTCCTCACTATTTGTTACCATGACAACAATATCACAGCATATTACTGTGACCGATGTCGGTCTGGGGAATAAGTACTCAAGACCGTTTCCAGTTCATTTCTTTATTGTTCCTAATTTCCAGTTCATTTCTTTATTGTTCCTAATTTCCAGTTCCTACTTCTGCATACCATTGCTAGCACCTTCTATCTTAAATAGCTCACTTTCAATCCTGATCTAATCTGGCTCACTTTCAATCTTCCCACTCTGACTCTGTTCTGCCTCTCTGTACTTCCGTCTGCATTCTCTGTACCTCAGTCTGCCTTCTCTGTACCACAGTCTGCCTTCTCTGTACCACAGTCTGCCTTCTCTGTACCACAGTCTGCCTTTTTTGTACCACAGTCTGCCTTCTCTGTAACTCAGTCTGCCTTCCCTGTACCACAGTCTGCCTTCTCTGTACCACAGTCTGCCTTTTTTGTACCACAGTCTGCCTTCTCTGTAACTCAGTCTGCCTTCCCTGTACCACAGTCTGCCTTCTCTGTACCACAGTCTGCCTTTTTTGTACCACAGTCTGCCTTCTCTGTAACTCAGTCTGCCTTCCCTGTACCACAGTCTGCCTTCTCTGTACCACAGTCTGCCTTTTTTGTACCACAGTCTGCCTTCTCTGTAACTCAGTCTGCCTTCCCTGTACCACAGTCTGCCTTCTCTGTACCACAGTCTGCCTTTTTTGTACCACAGTCTGCCTTCTCTGTAACTCAGTCTGCCTTCCCTGTACCACAGTCTGCCTTCTCTGTACCTCAGTCTGCCTTTTCTGTACCTCAGTCTGCCTTCTCTGTACCACAGTCTGCCTTCTCTGTACCTCAGTCTGCCTTCTCTGTACCTCAGTCTGCCTTCTCTGTACCACAGTCTGCCTTCTCTGTACCTCAGTCTGCCTTCTCTGTACCTCAGTCTGCCTTCTCTGTACCTCAGTCTGCCTTCTCTGTACCTCAGTCTGCCTTCTCTGTACCTCAGTCTGCCTTCTCTGTACCTCAGTCTGCCTTCTCTGTACCTCAGTCTGCCTTCTCTGTACCTCAGTCTGCCTTCTCTGTACCTCAGTCTGCCTTCTCTGTACCTCAGTCTGCCTTCTCTGTACCTCAGTCTGCCTTCTCTGTACCTCAGTCTGCCTTCTCTGTACCTCAGTCTGCCTTCTCTGTACCTCAGTCTGCCTTCTCTGTACCTCAGTCTGCCTTCTCTGTACCTCAGTCTGCCTTCTCTGTACCTCAGTCTGCCTTCTCTGTACCTCAGTCTGCCTTCTCTGTACCTCAGTCTGCCTTCTCTGTACCTCAGTCTGCCTTCTCTGTACCTCAGTCTGCCTTCTCTGTACCTCAGTCTGCCTTCTCTGTACCTCAGTCTGCCTTCTCTGTACCTCAGTCTGCCTTCTCTGTACCTCAGTCTGCCTTCTCTGTACCTCAGTCTGCCTTCTCTGTACCTCAGTCTGCCTTCTCTGTACCTCAGTCTGCCTTCTCTGTACCTCAGTCTGCCTTCTCTGTACCTCAGTCTGCCTTCTCTGTACCTCAGTCTGCCTTCTCTGTACCTCAGTCTGCCTTCTCTGTACCTCAGTCTGCCTTCTCTGTACCTCAGTCTGCCTTCTCTGTACCTCAGTCTGCCTTCTCTGTACCTCAGTCTGCCTTCTCTGTACCTCAGTCTGCCTTCTCTGTACCACAGTCTGCCTTCTCTGTACCTCAGTCTGCCTTCTCTGTACCTCAGTCTGCCTTCTCTGTACCTCAGTCTGCCTTCTCTGTACCTCAGTCTGCCTTCTCTGTACCTCAGTCTGCCTTCTCTGTACCTCAGTCTGCCTTCTCTGTACCTCAGTCTGCCTTCTCTGTACCTCAGTCTGCCTTCTCTGTACCTCAGTCTGCCTTCTCTGTACCTCAGTCTGCCTTCTCTGTACCTCAGTCTGCCTTCTCTGTACCTCAGTCTGCCTTCTCTGTACCTCAGTCTGCCTTCTCTGTACCTCAGTCTGCCTTCTCTGTACCTCAGTCTGCCTTCTCTGTACCTCAGTCTGCCTTCTCTGTACCTCAGTCTGCCTTCTCTGTACCTCAGTCTGCCTTCTCTGTACCTCAGTCTGCCTTCTCTGTACCTCAGTCTGCCTTCTCTGTACCTCAGTCTGCCTTCTCTGTACCTCAGTCTGCCTTCTCTGTACCTCAGTCTGCCTTCTCTGTACCTCAGTCTGCCTTCTCTGTACCTCAGTCTGCCTTCTCTGTACCTCAGTCTGCCTTCTCTGTACCTCAGTCTGCCTTCTCTGTACCTCAGTCTGCCTTCTCTGTACCTCAGTCTGCCTTCTCTGTACCTCAGTCTGCCTTCTCTGTACCTCAGTCTGCCTTCTCTGTACCTCAGTCTGCCTTCTCTGTACCTCAGTCTGCCTTCTCTGTACCTCAGTCTGCCTTCTCTGTACCTCAGTCTGCCTTCTCTGTACCTCAGTCTGCCTTCTCTGTACCTCAGTCTGCCTTCTCTGTACCTCAGTCTGCCTTCTCTGTACCTCAGTCTGCCTTCTCTGTACCTCAGTCTGCCTTCTCTGTACCTCAGTCTGCCTTCTCTGTACCTCAGTCTGCCTTCTCTGTACCTCAGTCTGCCTTCTCTGTACCTCAGTCTGCCTTCTCTGTACCTCAGTCTGCCTTCTCTGTACCTCAGTCTGCCTTCTCTGTACCTCAGTCTGCCTTCTCTGTACCTCAGTCTGCCTTCTCTGTACCTCAGTCTGCCTTCTCTGTACCTCAGTCTGCCTTCTCTGTACCACAGTCTGCCTTCTCTGTACCTCAGTCTGCCTTCTCTGTACCACAGTCTGCCTTCTCTGTACCTCAGTCTGCCTTCTCTCACTTATACTAAAAACTAAGAAGTGTCTAATATGCAAATTAGTTAACTAACATTTCTATTGGTCAACTGTAGATGGACAGCCATCAGGTGGTCAATAGAGGTTCCCAGGGCTCCAGTCTGTACCTTCAATTATCACTAATTGACCAGATCTCCATTCCTCTTTAGATGACTGACCAGTTAGCTTCCTGTCCTTACATCAACCACACCATCATTCATATTTTGTTTCACAGTAACTCCTTGTTCTCAATACTCGGTCTTCAGTTCTTTCACTTTCACCTGACAACTATTTAATTCTGTTCTCACGATTACCATTTCTAATTACATAACACACTGTCCTCAAATCTTCCTATTTCACACTGTCATATTTGCCTCTTAATCCTCCCTAAGTTTGTTCCACAATCTGAAATAATTCATGTGATGTTTAACTCTATCAATATGATATCAATATTCATACAATTACTTGTTATTCTCTATAATTACATTAACAATGTGCATTTCAGTAATTTGTTCAAAATTCAACACCAACATATTTGTATATTGTCTTTTCTTTCAATGACAGTCTTGGGTCTTCACTGTACATTGTAATCTTCCACATAACAAATTACAACTATGTCCATGTTTTGTCTTTGTGTTTCTCTTACTCCACCACTTTGAATGCTGAATATCCATTGTCCATTGAGACAACAACAAGTAACTTTGTTTCCACTCTTTGTTCAGGAATTTGGATTACACATTATAATGCACTGTCTGGTTGTATTTGTCACTTTCCATAAAAAAAAAAATTAACGCATGCAATGAAATACATAATATGAGTAATGTTAACCAAAATGTCTGGCTTTATCTCTGTGAATACCAGCACATTTGCCCATGCAGATGTTGGTTCCATGCAAACACATTTAGCAAAAAGGCTTGTTTTGATTAAACAATGATTATGTCAGATAATCTTCTGACTTCCTCCGAATCATGGAGGCACATGTTTATCGACTTATGAAAAAGGTGTCACATGCCAGCCAATTCCACTCATTGGTCTGCTTAGCTTCTATTGTAGTAGTTACCTAACTACTTATATGCTGAGAGTTCCAATTTCTCTTCCTCCACTCAAGACTTCAATTGCCCATGAGACAATAACTGTAATAACTTATATTTTCCCAATTTTGTTCAGGAACCCTTACAGCTAGCTTTTCATTATACATCTATGTAATAATGACCCATAGCTATCTTCTTGGTAACTACCAATACATAACCTACCCTCTTAGGTTATTTCCTAGAGAAAGAATATATACTAGTACAGTTTTTGATAACAATTAAGTATCGTTCAAGGGGCTCACATTGTCGTTATTCCTACTTCTTGCATTGCAAATCATATCAAAGCAAAATGTTTTACCCAT